TTTACAGTAAATGCCTCTGGAAATTAAATGAACCTCACATATGGTTTTGGTTTGGTTTAAGTTCATCGATTTCATGAAATCCTTGAGAAATGCTGTATAGGCAGGACCTGGCTCAGGCAGTTAGGGCAGTTGCAGTCCCGGCTGAGCAGCAGTACAGTTGCTCTTCCCTAGGGAAGTGACGCCGAGTTCTCAGCTAGAGCCGGGCTCTGGGAACCTGAGCCCCTGGGAACAGTGTCTAATTGTGAGTCCTCTTCTTTTCTGGTGCTCAGCTTAGGGGGCAAAGAGGGACTCTGTGTGTCCGGCGGGTTTCACCCTCATGTAACCCTGATTTTGTGATGATTACAGCACTCATAAACTTAATAGAAAAGTAAAGCATTTTCCTCTGGCTGAATATATCCTGTTAGTAACTATATACGTGGATGTCAGGGAAACTGTGTTTTAGTAGTCTCTTGTGGTTATCTTACTCCGTGCTCTTATTTTTCTAGTGGAGAAGCCGTACAAATGTGAGTTTTGTGGAAGGAGCTACAAGCAGCGGAGCTCTTTAGAGGAGCACAAGGAGCGGTGCCGTACTTATTTGCAGAATGCTGGCATGTGCGAGCCTGGTGAGTTTATCACGTTGTGGTGGTTTTGGTTTTTTGGTACGTTACAGTGCTTAGAAAGGGGCATCTGGTAAGCTGTTAATTCACAGCCCGAGAACAGTTTTTACTACAATCGTTTTCAGTAACCTAAGGGGCTGTAACATCTTATAAAAGGGTCTGGTTTAATGCATCCCTCAGGCAACTAGTTAAAGAATGCTTTTATTTTAATCACTTTTTTATTTCACAGTTACTTTGAATAAAACAGCTAAAATACCTTGAACACAGCAGTTCTGTAGGTGACACTCACAGTAAGTTAAATTATTCCTACATCAGTGCTATTATGTGGCTCATTTTATTGGATGAGTTGATGCCCGTGGTTGTTGACAACAGTTGTTCACATGTCTCAGTCCATTTGATGCTTCCTTTAGAATAAGAACTGTAGTTCAGAACTGGTTAGAATTTGCAGAAGTTTGAGAGGCATGGATCTAGGGCATGGCAATGGGATGGTAATGCAAAGATCACCAGTAGATCAGCTTAGGAGGCAGTGAGAGGTAAGGGACCTCTTCAAGTGTAGAGCTGCCTCTGAAAAAGGCTAAAGATAAAATGTATTAAAACACAGTTTCTTCCTATTTTCCTTTTCACAGCCTCAGTGCTGCAGTTCTGAAAATACTTTGGTGAAAAATAACTGCCATAATCTTTAAGCCTGCTTCACCTGAACATTTCAAATCCTAAAATGAACTTGTGTGATTTAAGTCCCACAATATGCCAGTAAGTCAGAAAAGAATTACTTTTCCCATTCCGAGTCAGGGAGTGGTTGTGACCTCCCAAAAGATTATTTGACTAATCTGCAGCAGAGCTGAGGCTACAATTTCAGAATTCAAGTTCCCATTCTTTTCCTGTGCAGCCTTAAAAAACGAACAAACGGTAACTTTTTAAGGACTCAAACTTCCCAGCTTTGATTGTGAATTTCAAAGTGAATTTTCTTTGCAAAGAAAAGGCTAAGCTGAGTTTTCAGAGAAGAAAACTTAAAATGTAAAATTATGCTTAGAGAGACAATGATGTTAACCAAGACCCTTTAATAATAATAATTATTATTATTATTATTAAATAATAATTAAATAATAATAACAACAATAATAATAATAATAAGTATTTAGTGATATTATTATCAAGCAACGATTCTGCAGGCATCATTACAAGCCAGGCCTGAAAACCAGAGTGAAGACTCACTGATATATGACAATAACTATGTGGGTACAGGAGTCCTTACCCTGTGCAGAGTGAGGAGGTTGGTGTATCAGGCTTTATTACACACACACACAAAACTGCCATAAAGAAACAATGCTTTGACAAAGTTAGAGTTTTATAGTTTTTTGTGGGCTGTCTTCTTTTCAGCAAAAGGCCTACTTTTTTAGAGCATTAGTAAAAGTAAAGGGTTATCAGAACATCAGCAAGTTTTGGTTTTCATGAGAACCCATACATATTGTAACTGTGGTTTTATGTTACAGTACGTACTCCCATGATGGCAATCACTCCAAGATGTCCACTACGTGAAAATGGAAAACTTGATACCTGCTATAGATTTCTGCTTTTAAATGATTCTCATGGTTTATATTCATTTCAGTACAGCCACATTTCACCGATCCAGAATCTGCTATGTAGTACTTAATGCAGTAGTACAGTGTGCCTTAAATTGGTCACAGAGGAAATGTACAGTTCCAGCACGACGTGACGTGGCTGGACCCTTTGCCTTTGAGACCTTCACACTTCAGAACATAATGCAGTGTTTTTAATGGAGTAGTAAGTTCTGTGAAAAACTGGAACTTCAGTTTTGCTGGGGCATTTCCGTTCAGTTCTCTGCTATCAGCACTATGTTTGATGACAGAATCAGAGAGAGGGAAGGCTGGAAAGGACCTCAGGAGGTTATTTAATGCATTTGATTAGGTTTTTTTCCCAAAGTGTAGCATTTTGCACTTGTGTTTAGTGAGCATTATTTTTTGGTTTCTGACCATATTCCTACATATCCACATCACTCTGAATTTTGGTGCTTTTCTGAAGTCCTTGCAACCTTCTCATATGGAGCCATCTTTAAGCGCATGTATGCTCTACATGCCATCATCCAATAATTCATTAAAATATTGAAAAGCATCAGGACCGTAGTAACCTTTCCAATTGCTTTTAAGCAGGAGGTTTGCATGTTCCAAATGTAGCAGTGCGGAAATATTTCTGTAAGAAAGGTTTTATGTAACAATATTGTTAGTGTTGCTCAGTCCCTGATAACAATCTCCGGTCACATTGTTCTCATTGCACAGTAACCCACCGCTCTGTTCCACTCTCCATTATTTAGTGACCACATAGAGATGCTACAGGAAGCAATGCCTCTAATTTGGGCTGTGCTTTGTACTTTAGGGTTTTGTTAAGGATGCCCGCACGTTCTAGAAATGATACTCACATTTATGGTGTGACAGAAACCACACTATGGAAACAGTTCAGCACAGGCTAAATGATCGTGGGTTCACACTCTGGGCTGGAAGAAGAGGATCTGCTCTCTGCATCTGCAGAATGTCGTGATGGCTAGGTGACAGCACAGTTTGAGAGAGGTGGCTCGTCACCCAGTGATTACAAGAAGGCATAAGCAGTCATTCATAATGGATAAATCACATTTGCACAAAAATTTTCTTCAGGAAGTGTTTTATAAACGTAAGATCAGGACTGAAATGTGCACACCCCTGCGGTGGGCAGCAGCGCTCGGAAGCACCCCAGGGGCATCTCGGGTGGTGACCAGGGAAGGCCACTGTCACCCGCTGGTGTTACCTAGGTGGGAGAGGAGGACCCGAGCTTAAAAGTGCTCAGGACACTGGAGCTAAACCCCATCCCATCCTGCTGCTGTGCAAAATACGACGGGTGGGAGCCTGCCTGTCCGTGTAACTCCAGAGGCACGTGCGAGAGCACTGATCAGAGCAGAGCAGGAGGGAAGAGGGTGATTTATTTGGTCTGCACTTTCTTTCAGCATCCTTAGAGTTTTTGTTGTTTTCGGGTCATGCAGTTGAACCATCAGAAGTATTTAGCCTGCAGGACATTTCAAGATCACAGCCTGAAGTAGGTTAAGTGCTTTGAAAGCCTAGATTTCCTTTGTAACTATTAATTTTTTTTTCAGTGTAACTTTGAGCAAAGCACTTGACCATTTCTGTCAGTCCAGCCTGAAATTTATTTTTAGATACATGTTATAGTTAGATAATTAGTTCTTTAAACTGATGTTACCATGTGCTGTGGAATCATCTAGCGGATAAGGTAATTGAACAGGGAGACAGGGCATGATTTTCTCTCTGTTTGAGAAGTCTTTAGAGAATTTTGAGGGATTAAAAAAATGTTTCCTAAATACTACACATTATTCTTGAATTGTTTAATAAGTGATCCAAAAGAAAGAGGTGGGTGAGATAATGTTAAGTTGGCTTTTGGGTAGAGAGCGCGGTGTTGTGGGGGAGAACCAGTGTAACCACCTGTGTCTCAGTGGGAGCAGATACTGTTTCCCCAGGGCTGTATTATGAAGCCATTGTCAAAGACTTTTTGTGACTCATAAATAAGAGATTTTTTTTTTTCTTTAGGAAAAAAATAGCTGTTAGTAAGGAGTAGAAAATCTTAATGAAAGACCCTCAGCGCATTACAATAAAATGGCAGACAGACAGCAGGCTGGAAGATTGGTACTTACAGCTGTCCCAGAATATATTATGTAGGTCAGTAGTTACTGTCTCTTCAGCAATCTCATCTGAGTAAAGACTATTGTTACCTCTGCAGGAAGCTGCTTGTCTGCCCTCTTGACACTAATTTAATAAAGTTCCCTTGGTGGCACATAAATAACATCGACAAGACAAGTAGTCACTGATGGGCTGTAGCTTCCAGGGTGTTTCTAGGGCTGGCTGAGAGAACTTACAGAAACTTCACTCTTTGAGTTCTGTCAGAATATAGAGAAAAACATTCTGAAAATGAGAAACTAAAGCTTTACTAGAACATGAGTACAGCTCATGAAGTTAAAGGCTGAGAAAAAGAGTAACTAGAAGAACAAAATTTAAAAATGAAAAAATTATAGAGACCAGGGAGCTGCTCTTATGACATGGATTCATTGTATTTTCTTTGGTTTGTTTGTTTGTTTTTTTTTTCTTTACAACATAAATTTTTGAATATACAGCACTGCTTGTATTATTATCTTGGTCAGAGTAGTTGAGGATTGTTGGGGTTTTTAAAGTTTAAATTACTATTATTAATGACTTGTGCAGTGATCCTGTCAAGATTACAAGCTTGCTGTGTTGGGAATAGTTCAAACCTTGAGCTGCAGTTATCTGAAGATAATGTGAAGAGCTCAGAAAGAATATTCCAGGTTTTGGAGCATGAGAGTCAAACAGAAGTTTTAAAATTGAAAATCCCATAACATTATTCTCAAGAATTAACTAGAGGTTCTGGCCAAAATCCAAACTGATGATTATGTTCTGCCTACCTAACTTTCCAGTAAATGCAGGTGCATTTTAGCAGTTGATGAATATATTTGGGTAAGTCTCTAAACATACTAGAGTAATTTGGAATAAAAATCAGACTAGAAAAGCAGTATGTTCCTACCTTTAAGGCAGCGTGTATTCATGCCCTCTGTGGGGGTTACAGCCTGATGAAACAGGACTAAGGTAGTGCTGGGGTGAGCCCTGTTATCCCAGCCATCCTGAGTCATATTTGTAGGTAGTACTTGCGGCACTGGGTACTTATGAAGCACTTTACATTTTCAAAATGCTGAACAAACATTAACAAATTGTTCTGGCTGAGGTTTGGTGAGTCATGGTTTGTGCTGACTGAAACTCATATGATATCAATAACAGCAATAATAAACAAGTAAGGAGAGACTGACTTTAAAATGTATAGGGAAATGCTGCACGCTAAGCTACAGAAAGAGGAAACTGCATTTTCACCACTTGCTGTACTTGACAAATTGCAATTTAAGTCCAATACTTAAGAAAACTGCATTCAGCAGGACTGAAGTGATGCCAAAGTGCTTGTAACACTTTCCCCTGGCATTACTTCTCTCTTATGTAGATTATTCTTCACATATTTAGGAATGCTAGTGCAACAGTACAATAACACAGCCGCCAGGATTCTTTCACGGTGAGATCTGACCTTTTGTATTGCCCTGGGAAAGCAAATTGCCCTTCCTTGTCTTCATTTTCCTCTACGTAAATACCAGCTCTTCAAGGCACGGGCGGTCTCTTAAAATGCATCTGGTTTTCACCACAGTGGTCCCCAACGCCCAAACTCTTGGTGCCACGTTTTAATACCAAAGTCCCAGGACCGGTACTCGTTCCTCAGGCGGGAGCGAGCTTTCTGGGGGGGGGAAGCCGCAGCAGTTACGTTCGGTATTAGTCTGGCAGTCGTGATATGAGGTGGCAGCCCTTCAGCTTGGCTCCCCCAGCTCAAAAGGCCGTGCAGCCTCCCTGAGGTGAGAGCAAGCAGCCGTTTCCGTGAAACGATGGGCTCCGGTGAGCGCGGCTGAAGGGGAGCTCTGGAAAATGGTAAGGTGCGCAAAAGAGTCAGTGGCCCAGTCTCGGGGGGGGGGGGATTGCAGGGCACGTGTACTTTTCCTGAAATTAGAAATCCTGGAGGTTGTAATGAGCTTTAAAACACATAATGCTAATGCTTACAAGTGTGCCAGGGTGAAAACATTCTTCATTAGTTTTAGCTGTAGTGTTTAGGAAAACAAATGAAGTGAGAATGGCACCTGAAAACAATGAATTAGAAGTGAATATTGACAGGTTCTATTATTTTGATGTTAATGGAACACTGCTATATTTCATACAAGTTTCTTAGCGATTAGTTAAGACGACATCTACGTATGACTGATACCTAAAACGCGTAGCAGGAGAACTGAATGTCTTCTATTGAAGTTTTGAAGCACTGTGTCAGCCTGCAGGTGTCACACAGTCTCACTCAGGATAAAACAGGAAGGCTAGCAGAGGTTCTATCTCCAGCTACATTTTGTAACCAACCCTTCCAGCCGGTTTATTTTACATTACCTCCTGCTAATGAGGATATTGGTTTTGTGTGGTTTACGCTCTCCTTGCATGAGCTCAGGACTGCAAGATCAGTGTCTGTTTCTGTACTTGGTTCCACTGACCGCAACTGGTGCCCAAGACGCAAAGAGCAAAAACGACAGAAAAAGCAAAACAAGTTTACATCAGATCTCCAAACTGTTTCCTCCCAGTTAGTGTGGCAAACTCCGGAGATTAAACCATTCATCTCTTCCTTTTTTTTTTTTTTTTTCTTTTTTTTCCCTTTTCACCCACGTGTTGTTTTTTTGTTTGTTGTTGTTTTGTTTTTTTTCTTTTCACATTTTCCAAACTAGCAAGCGTGGAGGCAAGGCACATCAAGGCAGAGATGGGGAGTGAAAGAGCCCTTGTGCTGGACAGGCTAGCAAGCAACGTGGCAAAGAGAAAAAGCTCAATGCCTCAGAAATTTATTGGTAAGAACAAAAAACCTTTTCATGTGCAGCAGTTAACTATGTGCAAGTTGGTAACCTGTAGTACAATGCCTCTGCTTATTTTAAATATCCTTCTCAAGTTTATAATCTAATCTAATACAAAAGAATATAAATAAAGTAACTGATTTTTCTGATGTGTTTTTAGTGATTTGTTGTAGGGTTTTGATTAAAATAAAAAGAATGTGTTCTGTTAGATACTTAAACCGGATGGAGCTACTATTGTGCTTTGTGTCTGTTTGTGTAGGCAATTTATAACTATATTTTATGAGCTTCCATGTGTTTTCTGTACCTGTGCCTTTGAAATGTTCTCTGCTAGGCTCTTTACAGGAAAAGAACAGGAAGGCTTAATGCTGTTAAGAGCTGAACGCTCTTTCTAGTCAGCAGGAGTTGAAGACACTTGCAGGATGCGTTTGTGGAATAGGGCCTAAAGACAGAAAAAGTATTGGATTTCTGTTAGTCATCCTGCTCAATTTGAATATGATTTAAAAATATCAAATCCTTTCTCGTGGTAATTGAAGCAACGAGATGTTTCCACAGTGTTTTCTTTGCATTTAATTTTATATGATCAGAGTTTGGCGTGCTGGGGACCTTAAATACTAGTTTGGCAGGTTTTGTGTTTCAGTGAACGCCAGATCCTCTCGGCTGCTCTTATTTCATTAACTTGCCTTTTAAGAAAATAACGTGCAACTCTTGCGTCCCGGGTAAAGACCTGGCGCAGTCAGCAGTTACAGAATGCTAGTGCTAGCAATGCCTTATTTGTTACATTCTGTGTGGTTATATGAGGTAGGGTGCTTCCTTTTCTTCCTGTGAACTTCACCTTCAGCAGAGGGGCCAGCGTGGCGGCCGCGCGGGGCCGGGGGGGGGTGAGGCTGGGGGCTGCAGGGACCAGAGCCCCCCCCCTGCCCGAGGGAGGCTCTGACCTGTCCTGGAGGCCTGGGGCCGAGCTCCACACCGGGGTGAAGGTACGCTGCTAAACCCACAGAGACACAAAAGCAACCGAATTCGGGAGGGTGCTGGAGCTCTTCCTGGATGTGGTGGGTAGCGCTGGACTTCCAGCTGTGAAAACTGGTAACTTTATGTAGACACCTAGCACGGCTTTAAAAGGTCACCTTCCTATACAGGAATGAATTACCACCAGCACTCTCCATCTGAGTGCTTTTGGGTACTTAATACTGAAACTGTTGATTGGGTGACTTAGACCTTACATGCCATGCTGTGATTCAAACGGTAATACTGATGCAAATGTCTGAAAATCTTCAGCTTCCTTTTTTTTTAGCACCAAGATCAGCTTCACCCTATCTTGTTTTTCAATTTCTACCAATTCAGTCTTCGTGTATTTCATTAAACATGTCTGCAGCAGGATGCAACCACTCGGCATACGCTTAGGTACTAGTGTTTTTCTGATTTCTTGGAGCAGCGTACTTGTTCCCGTATGGAATAGATCCTTTTTTGATTTGTGATTGTGCTCAGTAACGAGGTCTGCAGACGGCATGAGCTGGTAACTGCATCATGCAAGGGTTTTTGTGGAGAAGTTGGAGGACCCAGGGCAGTTCAGCTAAACGAACAAAATAACCAATTTTTGAAGCTTACTGTTTTTCTATGTAATTGGCATGTTCTTGGTAAGTAATATGTGAAAAAATTACTCACTTGGTCCCTTTTATCCCCGGGAAGTATGTTTGCAAGAGCAGTCTGTCTGACCTTGAGTTGACTTTTGTGACTTTCTGAACTGTATGTGTAGGAGTGCAAATCTGCCAGGACAGCTTTGTGATTTCTTGGGAAACAGCGTTCTTGGAACGGGTGCTGATTTTTCATTTTGTCAGGAAGAAGGGATAGAGATGTGTACTAACAAGGCATCTTTGTTTGGCTCATTTCTGTGAATGAAGTCTATTGATCAGAAAAAAAACACCTTTATTATTATTTGAGGGCTCTGCAGAGATTCGTACAAGCACTCAGAGTCTTGCCCACTTTATTTTTTCACATTTTCCTCTTCAGTAGCTACCTCGTGTGCAAGAGTAAGTCCCAAATGAGGACACGGATCAGCAGGCTGTATGCTTGACTCTTAACCTCTACACTGGGCCCCCCTTCAAAGGCTTCTGCTGCAAAGATTTTGTCCTCAGCTTTTCCCGTAGCGATGAGGGAACAAGGATTTGAATAGAAGTTTATGATTCTGTGTTTCCTATTTTGCTGTGGATTTCTGTTTTGCATGTATATGGACCAAATCTACAAACCCGGGCTTTTTGTACTTCTGGGTTTGATTAACGAACAGATTTTTAAAAAAAAAAAATTGCAAATAAAAACAGCCCAGCAGAACAGGTAGCTGTGCTGGTGGTGCTGTATAAAGCACGGACGGGGCTGTACCCTCCGCCGACCCCGGTGGAAGTAACCAGTGCATTTTTGCCAGCTTACACCAGCTGAGCATCTTAACTCACAAACTTCTATTTCTTCCCTTTTTAAAAACAAGTTCTCCCTGAGACCAGGAGGAAAAAAATCTATTTCTCATAGTGGTAAAAGTGCTAGTGCAGTTCTGACACGGTAACAAACACCGTTGTCCCCCAGCGTGCAAAGTCTAATGAGAAATTGCCTGCTTTGGTTAGCAGGGCGGCAGGAAGCAGGTTCACTCCCTGTTTCCAGTGTCCACACACCTCGTCTGGTTGCAAAAAGCTACATCCATCTTCGAGTGAGTGAAGCAGCGCCGAGCAGCACATGAGTATGTGTCATACACGATGGCTCATGTCTGAATTTTGAAGGGGAAAGCTTTTGCATTGCACTGAGGCAAACAAAAAAAAAAAAAAAAAAGGGGGGGGGGGAAGATGTTCTGCTAACCAGTGGCTGCTTTGTAAATGAACACTAAAGCACCTTTAATTTTGAATTTAGTATTTTTCAGTAACTTTGTGGCGCTCAGCCCAGTGCAGATAGCAGCTTAACTCAGCTTAATCCAGTAGATTGTCCTGCTGGCTACAAAGGTAGAACATCAACTGCCTTCAGCACAGTCCATGTTACTCCTCCCCCAGCCCCCATAGACTCATTTCCCTTTTTCAAATCACCGATCCCAACTTTCTCCAGGCTGACTGCTGTGGTTTTGGAGAGAAGCCCTGATCTGGCCCTTTGCTTCTTTCCGTGGAAAGGTTTGCTGTGTTTGGCGGAGGGGAGACAAAATAGATGTCAAGAGTGGGCCCCCCATCCACGTGATTGCGAGACGGTGCCATCGCTTGGCGCTCTGGATGTACAGTTAGCACTTGCTGTGGCACTTTCATGCAGATACAGCCCACCTAAATATAGACTTCTTACTGAGGTATCGAAATCGGACGCGTGCCTGCCTTGGGGTGTGTGCTGAGGCAGTGGGGAGGGGGAGAAGCCATCCTTTAGGTGATGCCTTTTCTTCCCAAAGTATCGTAGAAAAGTCGCAGTCTGGTTTACAGCCTGATTCCTTGCCCTCGTGTATAAAGAGTCACATCAGATGTGCCGTGAGCCTTTAAAAGTGCACAGCAACACGACACGTTAACGTATGTCAGAAGAGCATTTGGGTGTTGGCATTTCATTTGCTGTAACTGGAAAGGGAGACACAGTGGGCTATTGCGGGGACTTTAAAAAGCCACTGGGATGGTGGAGAAACAGAACACTGCGAGGGCCTCAGCGATCATACATCGTGTTTTTTGCATTTTACCTTATGACAGTGAATCCTAACCTAAAATTATAGGGACTCCTGTCTATTTTTTATTTTGTTGCCTTTTTTTTTTTTTTTTTTTTTTTTTTTAATTTCAAATTTGTTCACATCTTTCACTGGCCTGGAGCTGGTTTTGTGAGTCATACAAATGTGCTGTATCGTTTTTGTTTCCTTCTGTGTAAAGTTGGATAGTAAGTTTTGTTGAGGGTTGGAAGCAGTTACACTCTTGTGGTTCACTAACCTTTTTTGAGTGTTTTATGAGAGAAACGTGAGCTCCTGGTTTTCTGCCTCTGCAGTGAAACCTAATGAGTTTCATATACATTGAGTCATGGTGTTGACAGGTGACTGATACACATCTGCACTATTCAAGTTACCGTAACTAAAAGATTAGTGGATCTGATGTTTGAAAGTCATTTGCACATGAAACATTTGGTCTGGTCCATTTTTTTTTTTTTTTTTTTAAAGCGGTGAACAATTTTATATGTAACCACTGAATTCGGCTACTTATTTCTAGACATTCTCCAAAAAAGCGACTTCGGTCCTTTCGGGGTACAGTTTTACGTCCTCCCTGCACGTGGCATAGAGAAAGCTAGCTGCAGTGAGCTGCCCAGCCCACCCTCCCTGCCTTAGTCCTTGCTAGAAGCGGCGTGAGCAGCATTCGAGGTACAGGCTCCCTTAGCTCTCCTCCCGGCCCGACAGAGCTTGCAAAGCCCCCGCACACCCGGAGAGGAAGGCTCCCCTCCTCTTCCCCCGACCCCGTATCGCGCGGCCCTCGGTGCGCTGTCCTGTGCCCGTACACGTAGCTGCCAGCGTTTGCTTGTCTGAAAACCTGCGTAGGGTTCAAAGAAGCCAGACGTGGTGCAGAGGGGGCTGGAGTCGTCAGAGGACCGTGGGGAAAAGGGACTTCAGTGTCCAAGGACGTATAAAAATAGACTCTGTCAGATGGGTGAGAGCAGTGAAAAGCGCATCAAATCTCAGCTGTCACTCGTCTTCACTTTTTCTGTTAGAGAGGGGTACGCTTCTCAGGAGAAAGTCAAGAACAAAAGGTTGCGCTCTTGGTACTGAAAATGGAATATTTTGGTTCATTATCTGTTAGCTCCAAGTATTTTCATTAGTGATTATTTATCTTTTTCTGTAAAAAATATAAGTTAATCTATGCAAGCTTTGATAATATTCTTCCCCTTAAATCCCAGAATTATTTACCTTTTTCTATAAAAAAGATGAGAAGTCCATCTATGCGAGCTTTGATAATATTCTTCCCCTTAAATCCCAGAATTATTTACCTTTTTCTATAAAAAAGATGAGAGAAGTCCATCTATGCGAGCTTTGATAATATTCTTCCCCTTAAATCCCAGAATTATTTACCTTTTTCTATAAAAAAGATGAGAGAAGTCCATCTATGCGAGCTTTGATAATACTCTTCCCCTTAAATCCAAGAATAATTTAAAAAACTTAATGATGATTTGTCCAGTAAGCATCCTCACCACCTTCTCTATTGGATTTTTTTGCTTCCAAGCCTGAGCTTAAAAGAAAACCAAAAAACAACCCCCAAAAAGCCCCCACCTAAGAGCTGCTTGTGTATGTGAACAGCCGTTTTCTGCAGAGAACATTTCATGCCTCCTCGCTTTCCAGAGACTGCTGCCAGTTAGGAAAGGCGTCACGGAGTCGAAATACCGCTTTACCCCCCCCCAGGTAATTTAACACCTCTCCTCTCTCGCAGGTGAGAAACGGCACGGTTTTGATGTTAATTATAATCCGAGTTTCGTGTACGAAAAGGAGAGCGACCTCATGCAAGGACGCATGATGGACCAGGCCATAAACAACGCCATCACCTACCTGGGGGCTGAGGCCTTGCGCCCGCTCGTGCAGACGCCGCCGGCCCCCGGCTCCGAGATGGTGCCCGTCATAAGCGGCCTGTACCCCCTCGCCCTGACCCGCGCCGACGTGCCCAACGGCACCTCGCAGGAGGCCGAGAAGAGCCATGCCCCCCTCAGGGACAAAAGCCTCTCGTCCGACAGGGCCCTCTCCCCAAACAACAGCGGCCAAGACTCCACAGACACTGACAGCAACCACGAGGAGCGGCAGAACCCCTCCTTCCCCCAGGGCCCCGCCATCCCCGCCCAGGTCCGCAACGGCCTCCAGGCGCTGAAGGATTTCCCGAGGCCCTACGACGTCCTCAAGCCGCCCGCCCTCTGCCCGCGCGACGCCTTCAAGGTCGTCAACAAGGACGGGGAAGCCATCGGGGTCTACCGGTGCGACCACTGCCGCGTCCTCTTCCTGGATTACGTGATGTTCACCATCCACATGGGCTGCCACGGGTTCCGCGACCCCTTCGAGTGCAACGTCTGCGGGTACAGGAGCCACGACCGGTACGAGTTCTCCTCACACATAGCGCGAGGAGAGCACAGAGTGGTACTCAAATAGCGCGACTGCTCTTCCAAGGTCAAAAGGCTTTGTTTTAGGTGGGAGAGGAGGCTTGTTTGTTCGGGTTTTAATTAGTATAAAGAAATTTCTTGAGTATTTTTCTATGCCAGTTTTTAAGCGAGGGTCGCGGGGAGGTGACCCCTTCTTCAATTTTTCTTTACAAATAACTCAGTGTTCTGTAGCATCTATGCCTAGCTGCTGTGGTGGGCGGTACTGGATAAAACACCAGGAGCGGAGACCGATTTTTATATGAACTTTATTTTTCGTGAAGATTAAGAGCCATGTGAGGTGGTTTTGTTTTTTAACGTGCCTTTGGTTTTATAATGTATGCTTTAACTCGGCACAGAGCGTTTCGTGCCCTGCTGCCAGTCTCCCTGCTTGCTCAGATGCATAGGAAGAGGTGTACAGGAGGAGCTTTCTCTAGCTGGCACAGTGCCGACGGTCGTCAAGCGGCTGATCAGCGGAACGAGGAAAAAGTGCGTCTGGGAGGGATTATTAATTCCTTTCTAAAGATTTTCCCCTAAGTTTTAAAGAGCGTGTGGCCCCCCCACACTTTCATTTTTCTTACCCCCCCCCCGTTCACTTTCTTTAAAGTCACTCCCACATGCGTCTTGTTCAGTAATAGCAAAATAAGAAATGAGCCCCGTTTTGGGGCTGGGGTTTTTGAACCGTATGCGTTTTTGGGATAGCCAGTGAGGTCACTGCTTGGCTCATCCATGCGGTCTGGGGGAAATCCTGATTTTCACCGGCGGAAAGTCCTCCTTTCTGCCGGCTGCCAAGAACGAGGACGGAGCCAGGCTGTGCCCCCGGCCCGGCTCCTGCGGCCGCGCCGTCGGCCCCGCGGGCAGCGAAAGCCGCGGGCCCGGGGCGGGAGGCACCCGGCCCTGGCAGCCGACACCGTGAGAATCTGCATACACGAGTGTGTGGGAGCTGACAGCAAAATCACGCTGTGTCTGGTTTTACGTGGGGATATCCCTCGGAGTGAAATGTGCTGTTTTGCAAAATGAGTATTTACAATTACTTTGAAGCTGGTTTTTAAAATAGTTCTTTTAATCTAATCATTGCTCTGCAGCTGTATTGTTAGTCACTGTGCTGAAGATATGAATTTGATAACAGTTTTGCTGAGTGGATGTTTATTCTTTGCAAAGTATTTTTGTATAATGTAGAGTTAGGTGTGTTCTGATGGACTTCTTGCATCCATTGTATGGTTTGATATCTACATCGCTTTTGTACTTTTTCAGCGTTGCCGTGCCGATATCCGTGGTGATCCATTTGTTTCCGTGAGGGAAGGCTGTGGGGCACAGGGGCCTGGGTGGAGTGCCGAGGGTCAGGGAATACTGAATTTCATTCCCTTCTCTGACCTGGGCTCACTCTTTTGGCTCAAATACTCCCTCCCTCCCTGAATTTTAAGGTACAAAAAAAAGAAAATTAAATTCAATTTTCCCGGTATGGGTACGTCTGAAGGTGAAATGAGTCTGCAGAGTGCCTGAGTATCTGAAGTGCTGCGGAGGTGTTAGATCCTAGATCCTGCTTGTCGTCGGGGGGTAAGGGGAACTCTTCAGCCACTTGGATGTTATGGGCATGGTTATAAATTAGGTTTAGGATCTTTTCCAATAACCAGCTTCCCATCGTGAGGCCCATAGGGTGGGCGGGTGGGAGTTGGTGCTTCCCCGCTGAACTCCCGTTGTCGCGGCGTGCCGAACGATCCTTCTGTGAGCGAGGCTGCGGCTCCAGCAAGGGCTTCACCCGGTCGGCGGAGCGCTGCGGGCCCCGGGGAGGCTTCGGCCGGTTCCCCACCTCGCTTGGTGCCAGTCGTTCGATAACTCCGGCCCTCCCCGCTGCCTTTCCACGGAGGGGGGAGCGGCTGAGCTTACACGCGCGTCGTGGGTGACGAAAAAGCTCCTCCGGGTTCAGGAGAAATGAATAAGATTACACGTAGTAAAACGCGACTTGTCGTTCGCACAGGAAGCTCCCCAGATCGCCGAATGTGTGTCACGCAGCACCGCCGGTTTCTTTCTCACGCCGCTGCCGAATCCTTGAAAACACTCTTCAGATTACTCTCCCACTCTCCACTTCCCGCCAGGCAGGGCCTCAGCCACCTACCCTCGCTTCCCAGATAAGCTGAGCAATCAACCGCTGCGCCCCCGAGCAGCGCTGCCAGCTTTTGGAAAGGAAGGAGGGAGGTTTTCGCAGCTTCTGGCCCAGGCGGCACCGTTTTCCCACCGCGGCTGGGACCGAGTCCCGGTTTCAGGATAGGCCCGACCAAAAGACCTTCCCTGTGCTGCCTGGAGTCGACGAGCAGTGACCTCGTTACGGCTCTGCTGTTGAGCAATCGCTTGTTGTGGAATTCCAACCCAGTCACTTATTAAAACACATCTGTATTTTTATGAGAACCGTTGACGTGCTGTGTGATGCTGGCGGAGGGTGAGCCCGCGCCTCCCCGAACCGGCGCCTTGGCCGTGTCCCGGCAGCAGGGCTGGGGCGCTGGCCGTGCCAGGATGGGGCCCCCCGCCGCCCCGGTGGGCACTCGCCTCCCCTGGCACCGGGGTCCCCGTCCCGCGGCGCTGCCCCCAGCACCCTCCCTGGGCGCTGAGCACCAGGCGCGTTGGGCCGTGCCGGGACGCCGAAGGGCTGCGCTTGGCTCCCGGGCGGGTCTGTGGGCTCGGAGGAGCTTTGCAAATCACCTCATCTGGGAAAATGGAGGGGAAAAAAACCCGCTGGTGTGTGTCGTGAGCCTGACTTATTCTGCTCCTGGTCTGGTTATTGTGGTGCGAAACAAATTTCTGTTTGGACCGTTCTGTCTGAACGCGCTCCAGCCAGCTGTTTCGTCTGTCTCGCTTGGCTTCTTTATTTACTGCTGAATTGCACCTAAACGGCGGGCGGCACGGAGGAGCCTCGGGAAGCTGACTTTTAGAACCAAGAAATGAGCCTCCCGTGCTCGACCCTTTATTGAATTTTTAAATTTCAATCATCAGCCCTCTCACGTACACGCTAGGGGAAGGGAGCCCGGGTGCTGCGCTCTGCTGCGCTGCTCTCCCACGGCCCGAGCTCGTGCCTGGACGCAGGACGCCCCGAGCTGGAGGGCGAGCGGCGAACGTTGGCTGATGCCCAGGAGAGAGCCCCCAGGGCCGGAGCTGCTCGTGCCTGTCACCCCCCCCCGGGGTCCATAAATCACAAAGATGTGACGAATCCCACAGCCACCGTCCAGCCGCGGTGCTTCCCCCGGGCGCTGCCGGGCGGGTGGCGATGGCTGTGGCCAGCGAAGCACCAACCCGGTACTCGGTGGAGCGCTGGTACGCTCCGGGATGGGAAGATCACGCCGCCCGCTCCTCTAACTGCTGAGAAAACGGTAGAGGTTTTTAGTTTTGGTTAATTGATGACTGGTACGGCCTAGGAAAACGTGCCCTCGGGCTGCCGCCGGCGTTCCTCGTCTCCCCGGCAAGCTCGGGACAAGTGTCCGAGGGAGGGGAACGGCCCAGCTTTGCCCCGGTAGCGCAGAAGCGATTCCCGCGGGCTGTCCCGGCCTGGGGACTCGCTCCCTGCGACGCGACGGGCCGCGAAGCGCCGTCCTCCTCAGACCCGGCGTCGCCGAGCCCAGTCAGAGCGAAACCGGGCTCCGGTAGCGGTGCGGAGGAGCCCTGACACGCGGCGGCGGGGTGCTGAGCTGGTTCACGCCTGCCGAGGGGATGGTGGAAGGGACACGCGCCCCTCGAGTCCCGTGTCCCCCCCCCCGTGGCCTCGCCAGTGCTTCCCAGCGAGGCCCACCGCCGGCACCGGTGTTCCCAGTCACCCTCACCCTGCAGAAGCGTGGGGCGCGGGCGACGCTCAGCCCCATGTGCAAAGCTCGAGGGGGGGGGGGGCTCAGGGTTTCCGTGGGGTGACGGGGGCTGCGCCCCACCGTGCCGGAGCACATCGCTCAGCCGGAAACATCCCGGCGGGCGGGGAGGGCGGAGGCTGGCGCCAACAGCCCTTTTCTAGCACCTGCTTTAGCAGGTTGACGTTGTTCACACTTATTTCATACTCTCCTGACAGCTTCTACCACAAGAAGCTGGACACACTTGAAACAGAGAAAATTAAAAAAAAAAAAAAAAAAAAAAAAAAGAAAATCAGAAGATCCTTTTTTTCTTTTACCTTCACTTCCTTCCTAGCCTGGGTGAAACACAAGCACCAAGAGTTATTTTCCCCCTACCGAGACGCTGCCAGGTAACTCGGAAGGACTGGGTGAAGCACGGCCAGTGCTCGCAGCCCCGGGCCAGCCGAGGGGGCTCGGGGGCAGCGGATCCCACAGCGGATCCCCAGCCTGGCTTTTCCCTCCATAAGAGCTGGTTTGATGCTAAAAAAAACCCTTCAGCCCCCTCATGCCTGGAACCAACCCCCCTCTAAAGCACCAGGTTTATAGAAACGTTGGGTTGGCGTTACGACAGCGAGATCCTTATCTGCTGATAGGCTGTAATTATGATAGAGTGGAGAGGAACTCGTTTACCCCCATCATGTCGAAACACGCTTTGCAATGCACAAAAGAAATCCTACAGAACTCTGCCGGGTGCTGCAGCCCATCCTCTGAGCATCCCGGCCGGCTCCTGCTGCGGCCCAGCACCCGAAGACCAGCGGTGCTGGGAGGGGAGAGCGGGCGAGGGAGCACTGAGTCACCACCACCTCTTCCTCCTCCTCCTCCTCCTCCTCCTCCTCGTCCCGATTCTCCAGCCTTTCACTGAGTCACGCTGCTCCGTGCCGTCCCGCCGGCGGTTCGCAGCCCTCCGCGTGGGCTGGGCTCCCCCAAAAGCCGGGGAAAAGCTGGGGGGGAAGGTGTGAGCAAGCCGTGGGGCCACCTCTGCGTTTCCCTTGGCGGGGGGGGGGGCTGAGGACAGCGGGCTGGAGGAGGGGGGGGGGTCTCCCCAGTGCCCCCCACGCAGAACCGCGTGCCTGAACGCTTGGCAGCCCCGGGGTCCCCGCGGGACACGAGCGAAGCGGGGACAGGCCCGCGGCTGTCACCGGGGCACCGTGACGGGGGCAGCCGGTTCATGCCACCCCTGATGCCCCCCCCCTCGCTTCGCCGGGAGGGGGGTGAAGCCCCCGGGGAGCCCCGCGCTCCCACCCCATTCCCTCCGGCGGGGTTATATCTGGTGCCGCATTTGCATCGCGGCGCAGCCGGCGCACCTGGGCAGCGAGCGAAATCCTCGAGGGAGCGGCCGATCATTGTCACACGCGGGCTCGCCGGGGGAAGGAAAGTCCCCGCAGACGATTGTTTTTAGAAGAACCCAACGCTTCCCACCCCGGTGGCTTTGGCACCTCGGGCAGAGCCTCCACCCCGGCCCCCGGGGGGGGCTGCAGAGAAGGGTTGCACTGGGATGATGCTCCTGGGCTCTGCAGCGGTGCTGCAGCTCCCAGGCTGGAGATGATGCTCCTCAGCTGTAAGCACGGCCCAGGTGTCCCCCCCCCACGATAGAGGAGCCCCTCCCCACAGCCCAGGCCACAGCAGCCCCCCTGTTTCCCCCTCGCTTTGCCCAGGACCCCCTTCCCACCACGGGCGCTGGGGAGATGGGCTGTGAGCGGGGCTGAGGCCGTTACAGCGGTGCTGCACCCCCCCCACTTCCCCCCCCCCCCCCCAAGCTCTGCAGTGAGTGTTGGGGGCAATCCTGCTCCCCCCTCCCCTCTTCCCCCAGCAGCAGCCCCAGTGCTGCTTCCCTGGGGACTGGGGGGCACTGTGGGGCTGGGGGTGCCTGGGGTGGGGGTGTGGGGGGGTGCGCTCCACCCTCGGCCCCATTTCCCACGGCTGTAGCTCTGTGCTGGGGGGGGGGCTGAGCTGCAGCCAAGAGCTCCCCCCTCCTTCTTGCTCCCTGGGACTGGGTGCAGCCGCCCCCCCACCCCCCCCCCCCACCCCATCCCTGCCCCCCAGAGCGGAGAAAGTTAGTCAAATCTGCAGAAACCGCAGCGGGGGGCGGGGGGGGGAGGCTGCATCTCCACCGCCCCTTTGATGTCACCCCTGCACGTCCTGCAGGTGCTGTGCCGTTGCCATAGCCTCGGTGCCACGGTCTTTGCCATTAACTTGTGCGAGAAGCAGGGGGGGGATAATGCAAAAATATTTCCTCTTCCCACCCCCCCATCCTGTCCCCAGGGGTGCCAGGAGCCGGCCGGGCCCGCGGAGGCCACGTGCGCCGCACAGGCTGGTGCAAGGTGCTGCAGCCACCATCCAGCCCCTCGCACGTGGGGCTGAGGGTCCTGGCGCGGTGGTTTTGGGGTTTTTTTTGGGGTGGGGGGGCTGTCCCAGGGACCCCCCACATCCATGTCCCACGTGCATCCTTTGTACCCTCCATCCTGGGCAGCGACGAGGCCGCCCGGGCGTCCCTGGCTCCGGCGCAGCCGCACCGGGAAGTGCGGTGGGAGCCAGGAAGGTTTCTCAGAAATGGCCCCGCGGCGTTGAATCATGCCGGGCCTCCCTGCGGTTTCCCCCTGCTCTCACCTCCCGGGCGCAGTCACGCCAGGCACCCACGCGCGAGCACCCTGCACCCAACCCCGGGGGGCGGCACAGGCTGGAACCTCCCCCCCCTGCCACCCCCTCGCTCCTTCTCCCCGCTCCCCAAGCTGGAGGGGAGCCCCCGGGGCAGCGCAGGGTGCTGGGGTCCCCCTGACGTGCCTGCTTCTAGCGCCCGGCCTGCACCCATCCTGCACCCACCATGCACGCTGCACCCAGCACCCCTGCACCCAGCACCCCCACACCCACCATGCACACTGCACCCAGCACCCCTGCACCCAGCACCCCTGGACCCAGCACCCCTGCACCCACCATGCACCCCTGGACCCAGCACCCCTGCACCCACCATGCACCCCTGCACCCAGCACCCCTGCACTCACCATGCACCCCTGGACCCAGCACCCCTGCACCCAGCACGCCTGGACCCAGCACCCCTGCACCCACCATGCACCCCTGCACCCAGCACCCCTGCACCCAGCACCCCTGCACCCAGCCTTCACCGTGCAACCCACACCCACTCTGCACCGGTCCCTGCAGCCCCTTTGCACTCCCTGCACCCACCGTGCACCCTTTGCACCCTGCTGCTCCTGTTCCTGCACCACCACCCGCACCAACCACTGCAGCCCCCCCCACCCCCCCCAGCTCTGTGCTGCCCCGGTGCCGTGAGGCTGGGTGCCACAGGGGGGGTCCATTGTGCAGGAGCCCCACCCCACCCCCAGGGCATTGCTGACCCCTCAGCAGTGGCTGGGGGACGCAGCCGTCGCTGGTGCTTGGAGGGGGGGGAACATGGGGTGCCACATGCCTGTGGGTGCAGGATGCTGGGGGGGGGGGGGGCGGGGGGAGCAGTGGGGGGCAGGCAGTGTGGGGGGGGGCAGCTGCCAGCCCTTCCCAGCCCCGTCACGGCTGCTGCGCTCTCAGAGGAAGCCGCTCTGCTTTTTCACCCGGCGTTGGTTAAAAATACCACTCCGGATTTTAATACAGCGGCGGCGGGTGCTATTTTGGGCCGGGAGCAGGAAGCGAAACCCCATGTGGGTCCCGGCCTTGCTCGCCCCCCGCCTCTGAGCTGAGCCCCCCCCCCCGGGGTGGGGGGCTGCGGTGCCCCGAGTTGCCCGGGGGCCGCGGGGGGCTATTTGAAGCCCAGCAGCCGGGCGCCCTCCTTCACCTTCTGGGCCTTCCAGCGGAGCAGGCGGATGGCGCCGAGGCTGAGCCGCAGCACCGCGTCGTACTTGAACACCAGTTTGTAGAAGGCGTCGGTCACGAGGGCGCCGCTGGGGTCGGCGTGCTTCAGCGCGGCCATCGGCGTGCACACCGCGTTGGTGCGGTGCCGGAAGGGCGGCCGGGCCGCCTCGATCACCCACACCGTGTGCTGCACGGGGGGGGGGGACACACACGTTACTGTCCCCTTCCTGCCCCGTCCCCTCCTCCCCATCCCATCCCCACTCCCACTCCATCCCATTTCCATCCCATCTGCATCCTACCCTCATCCCTGTTCCCATTCCCATCCCCTTTCCGTCCTATCTGCATCACATCTCATCCCTGTTCCCATTCCCATTCCTATTCCATCCCATCCCACCCCATCCCTGTTCCCATTCCCATCCCATCCCCTTTCCATCCCATCTTCATCCCGCCCCCATCCCTGTTCCCATTCCCATTCCCATCCCCTTTCTATCCTATCTGCATCCCATTCCATTCCCATTCCCATCCCCTTTCCATCCTATCTGCATCCCACCCCCATCCCTCTTCCCATTCCCACTCCTATCCCATCCCATTCACTTTCCATCCCATCCACATCCCACCCCCATTCCTGTTCCCATTCCCATCCCATCCCATCTCATCCCCTTCCCATCCTATATGCATCCCACCCTCATCCCCATTCCCGTCCCCATTCCCATCCCATCCCCTTTCCATCCCATCTGCATCCCACCCCCACCCCTGTTCCCATTCCCACCCCATTCCCATCCTATCCTTATCCCCATTCCCAATCCCTATTCCTACCCCAATCCCTATTCCCAGCCAGGCTCAGCCCCATCAGGATAAGGAATTTCTCCATCAGGGGAGGAATTGTCGGGGCGGGCCCCCTGCCCCGCTGCCTGCTGGGGGGTCACTGCTCCTCGTTAGCACTAATTGGGGGTTTCTCTAAAGAGCCCAGCCCAGGGAGGGGCTGCCAGGCTGGGGGGTGGGAAGAGGGCAGCCCCCACCCCCCCCCCCATCACCTCCGCGATGTCCTCAGGGGTCTGGCCCAGGCTGGAGAAGATGTCCTTGGAGTTCCTCAGGTAGAGGTTGGCGAAGATGTCGGCCGTCTCGGGGTCGGTCCGTGAGTAGTCGGCGCGTTTGGCTTCCTCGTACACCTTCGCCTCGAACTCCGTCGTCACCGGCCCCGGCTCCACCAGGCTAATCCTGCCCGGGGGATGGGGCGCTGGGGACCCCGGCACCCCCCAAACCCCCCCTCCGCCCTGGGGGGGGGCCGTGCCACCCACCAGCCCCCCGGCACTCACGCCACGTTGAAGTGCAGCGCCTGCACCACCAAGCTCTCGCAGAAACCCTCCACCGCGAACTTGGAGGCGGCGTAGATGTCGTTGAAGACGATGCCTGGACCGGTTGCAGGGGAGGAGGGGGGGTATGTGTGTGTCCCAATCAGGGCTGGGAGGCAGGGGGGGGGCTGGTCCTACTGGGGTACCCCGTCCCGTCCCCCCCCTTTACCCTGCAGGCCCATGATGCTGCTGATGACCACGATGTGGCCCCTGCGGCGCCGCTTCATGTCGGGCAGCACCTCCTTGACCAGGCGGACGAGGCCGAAGAAGTTGGTGTCCATGAGGCTCTGCATGGCCGCCAGGCTCTGGCACTCCAGGGGACCCGCCATGCCCACCCCGGCGTTGCTGACTGGGGGCACTGGGAATCACTGGGGTGTCCCCGGGGCCAGGGGGCTCCTGCTCCCTGTGCCCAGAAGGTCCCCAGTGCCCGGAGCGTCCCCAGGATGGGATGCCCTGGGTGTGGAGGGTCCCTGGTGCACAGGGGGTCCCCAGTACAGAGGATCCCCAGTACAGAGGGTCCCTGGTGCAGGATGTCCCTGGAGTGGAGGGTCTCTGGTACAGGGGGGTCCCCAGTACAGAGGGTCCCTGGCGCACAGGGGGTCCCCAGTACAGAGGGTCCCTGGTGCACAAGGGGTCCCCAGTACAGAGGGTCCCTGGTGCACAGCGGGTCCCCAGTACAGAAGGTCCCTGGTGCACAGGGGGTCCCCAGTACAGAAGGTCCCTGGTGCACAGGGTGTCCCCAGTACAGAGGGTCCCTGGTGCACAGGGGGTCCCCAGTACAGAGGGTCCCCAGTACAGAGGGTCCCTGGTGCAGGATGTCCCTGGAGTGGAGGGTCTCTGGTACGGGGGGGTCCCCAGTACAGAGGGTCCCTGGCGCACAGGGGGTCCCCAGTACAGAGGGTCCCTGGTGCACAGCGGGTCCCCAGTACAGAGGGTCCCTGGTGCACAGGGGGTCCCCAGTACAGAAGGTCCCTGGTGCACAGGGGGTCCCCAGTACAGAGGGTCCCCTGTGCAGGATGTCCCTGGCACGGAGGGTCCCTGGTACACCGGGTGAGGGGGACACTGGTGCATGAGGTGTCCCTGGCACAGAGCGTCCCCAGCACTGGGCGCACAAAAGGTCCCCAACATGGGACACGCTCAGCGTGGACAGACCCCAGTTACCCCCAGTGCACAGAGGGTCCCTGGAACTGGGGGGGTCCCCAGCACCCCGGGGACACGGGGGGGGGGGGAGGGGGGGGTCCCGGGCCTCACCCAGGACGTCGACGTGGCGCCCGGGGATGCTGTTGAGGCAGGCGCGGACGGAACCCTCGTCGCAGACGTCGAGCTGCTTGATCTCCAGCGTCCGGCCCAGCGCCGGCCCCGCCGCCGCTGCCAGCGCCCCGCTCCTGCTCACGTTCCTCATGGTGGCGATGACTGGGGGGGGGGGGGGGTGTTTGGGGGGTGCACGGGGGGAGCTCAGCCCCTGCATGGAGAGCGGTCTCCCCTGGGAATTAGGGGGTTAGAAAGGGCGGGGTGGGGGGGGGGGTGTCACCTCGGAAGCGGCGCTGCTTGTCCTGTGCCAGCCGGACGGCCAGCGCCAGCCCGATGCCGGAGGAGCAGCCGGTGATCAGCACCGTTTTGGGAGCCATGGCACGGCCGTGGCCCCGCTCCCCGGCCCCCCGCCTTTAATAGCAGCTGGCCCAGCCCTGGCCCCCCCCCCCCCCCCCCCAGAAGCCCCCCAGATCCAGACCCTTAATCCTCCCCCCTGTTAATCCACCCCCCGGCGGGGATTTGCCGGCGGCCGCGTGGCTGAGCCGCACGTGGTGCCCGGGGTGCACAGAGGAGCCTTTGTGCGGGACACGGGGACACGGCGGGACACGGGGACACGGTGGGACACGGGGACATGACGGGACATGGGGACATGACGGGACACAGGGACACTGCCAGCCGCGTGCCCGCTGGCAGAGGGGGGGCTGTGGGGACAGACCACCCCCCCCCCCCAGCACCCCAGCTTTCCCTTGAGAGGGGGCGAGGCAAGAGCTCTGAAAAAATAACCTTTATTCTCACTGGTATAAAACACATCACAGTTCAACTGGCCTTGTGGGGACGTGGGGGACGCGGTGGTGGGTGCCCCCCTCACCCCCTCCTCTCCCGGGACCCCGCTCCTGGGGTTGGGGACCCCCGAGCCTGCCTGGCCTGGGGGTGAGGAGTGTCCGGCCCCTGCAGGGACACTCGGGGACACTCGGGCCTGGTGCTGTGGAGGAGGGGGAGAAAGTGCTTGAGTGGGGGGGGGCCCGGCCATGCCGGCACCCCAGGACCCCGCGGGCAGAGCCGGCACCCCGGCACAGGGCCGGCGGGTGGTGGCGGAGGAGCCGGCCTCGTCCCTGTGCACCCTGCGCCGAGCTGGGACCAATCCTGCCGCTCCGTGCCGGGCTGTGCCAGGCCATACTGGTGGTGCCGGGCTGTGCCGAGCCGTGCTGGTGGTGCTGGGCTGGGCTGTGGCACGCCAGCAGTGCCGGGCCGTGCTGAGCCGTGCCAGGCTCAGAGGGCCACGCAGGTGCAGTAGTGCCGCAGCTTGCAGGGCAGGATGCCGCGGTTGATCTGGTGGAACTCCACGAGCTGGATGAGGTCGGCGAAGCGGGTCTGCCCGTCGTCCATGGTGAAGTAGAGCCGTCCCTCCTCCTCGCTCTGCCGGGGGGGGGGGGGGTGCAGGTCAGCACCCCGGCCCCCCCCCCATTCCCCCCCCCGGCAGCCCCCGGCCCCCCGCACTCACCGGCAGGATGAGATAGTGTTTGACTCTCTGCAGGTGGCACAGGGACAGGACGAAGCCCTTGGGGTTGCGCTGGCTCTCCCGCACCAGGAAGACGCTGCGAGCCCCAGGGGGGTGTCACCTCTGGCCCCAGGCCCCCCCTGCCACCCCCGGGGTCCTCCCCAGGGTCCCCGGTAGCACCCCCCACCCCGAAGCCGTGGGGTACTGTACCCACTGGGAGCCCTTTATCCCCCTGGGAGCCCCGGGGCCCTGGTTTGTCACCCCCCCCCCCCCAAACCCCCCAGGTCCCAAACCCCGGGGAGCAGATCCCCTGAAAACCCTGGGGGGGGATCCCAACACCCCTGGGATCCCGTGCCCCCCCCCCCCCCCCCAGCAAGTCTCCCCTATCCCCACAGGTGTCCTGTGTCACCCCATGAACCTCAGGGCCCTATAACCCCCAGGGTCATTTACCCCGCCAGGGGTCCCATGTCCTGTCCTGCGCCTCCCCCCCCCCAAGCCCCAGGCACACCCCACACCCCCCCCCCCGCCCCGGGGTCCCATACCCATCCACCAAGCCCTGCCGGCCGATGAGCTGCTGGGTGTCCTCCCGGGAGATGCGCCCGTGGAACCAGGGCTGGGTGCGGTGGATGGCTGCGGGGAAGATGGGCATTAGGCTTGGGGGGAACCCCCCCACCCACCCGGGGCAGGGAACCCCCCCACACACACACTCCTTTGCCCCCCCACCTCGCGGGTGGGACCCCGCGGGCGGGCGCTGCTCACCGGCGCTGAGCGGGGAGCTCTGGCAGGCTGCCGGCAAGCTGTACCGGTGCGTCGTCTTCTTCTGGCCGTGCAAAGCAAGGAGCAGGCGTTAGGGTGGGCTCGGGGTGGGGGGGACACCCCACCCCACCCCCCCCACCCCCCCCACACACACACCCCTGCACCCCAACTCACCCTCCAGGCCTGCGCCTCCTCCAGCGCCACTGTCAGCACCTCACTGGGGTTCTCGATCACCCGGCCCGTGCACCCCGAGAAGTCCATGGCCACCAGCGCGTTATCCGAGACGCTTCGCTGTGGGGGAGTGGGGTGGGGTGACGGGGGGGGGGGGGGCCAAGGGATGGGAGGGCTGAGGGGGGAGTGGGGGGGTGGGTGGCACTCACCAGGGGCGTGGGGCCGATCCAGGGGGGCTGGCTCAGCCGCGCCTGCGCTTGCTGGTAGTTGCGGTAGAGCTGCATGCCATACTGGGGGGGAACAGCCCCGTGAGCTGGGGGGCGGGGGGGGGGGGATCCTGTGGGAGCTCCATCCCACAGCGGGGTGGGGGGAGACCACCCACTTGGCGTGGAGATGGGGACCTCCACGTCCACCCGGTGTGGGGAGGGGGACCTCTGCATCCACCCCGCGTGGGGACGGGGACACCCATCCTGCATCTTTTCCAGCACAGGGATGGGGACATCCCCCCCCAGCACACCCCCCACACCCCCCCCCGCATTTCCACCCCCCAGAACCCCTTGACACGGGGCCGGGGCTCACCTTGAAAAGGCGAAAAGCCGCCATCCAGCAGCTCCGGCTCTGCTCATCCTCGCTGCAGAGCAGCTTCAGCCCCTTCACGCCGCTCCGCACCTTGTAGGGCTGCGGGGAGAAGCTGGAGCCGTCATGGGGCAGCCCCCGACAGCTCGGGGGGGGCAAGTGGGGGGGGGGCAGAGACCTTTTGGCAGGGGAAGGGCACCCCCAGTCCCCAGCCAGGCAGGGACATCCCCACCTTGATGCAGAAGCCGAACTCGGTGGGCGTTCCGTAGTGCTTCTTGCCCTGCGTCACGTAGTAGATGTTGGACTCGGTGAGGTCAGCGAAGTACTGGAGGTGCCGGGGGTCCTGGGGGGGGCGGTGTGTGTGGGTGTGTGTCAGGGCTGGCCCCACTGCACCCCCCCAAGCCACTCTACCCCCCCTGCGCCCTCACCTTGGAGGTGCCTTTGGTGGAGTAGTAGAGCCCCGAGCGGCGCAGGGAGAAGTAGAAACGCTTCCAGACCTTGCGCCCAGCCTCCCGCAGCTGCAGGAAGCCCTGGACCTCGGGGCAGCTCCCGGAATTGAGGAAGTTCTGGGGGGGGGGGGGCAGGGGGGGAGATGAGGGGTGAAGGGCACGGCGGGGTCCCTGCGGCACAGTGGGGTCCCCACAGAGCAGCGGTGTCCCCACAACACGGCGGGGTCTCCACGGAACAGCGAGATCCCCACGGCACAGTGGAGTCCCCACGGAGAAGTGGGGTCCCCACAACATGGTGGGGTCCCCACAGCACAGTGGGGTCCCCGTGGTGCAGCAGGGTCCCAGTGGCATGTCAGGGTACGGGGGGGTCCCCACAACACAGCAGGGACCCCATGGCATGGCAGAGTCCCCATGGCACGGCGGGGTCCCCACAGCATAGTGGGGTCCCCATGGCACAACAGGGTCCCCCACAGCACAGCGGGGTCCCCCATGGCACAGTGGGGTCCCCCACAGCACAGCAGGGTCCCCACAGCACAGCGGGGACCCCACAGCACAGCGAGGTCCCCCACAGCACAGTGGGGTCCCCCACAGCACAGCGGGGTCCTCACAGCACAGCAGGGTCCCCCACAGCACAGTGGGGTCCCCACAGCACAGTGGGGTCCCCCATGGCATGGCAGAGTCCCCATGGCACAGCGAGGTCCCCAATGCACGGCAGCCCCGTACCTGGATGAGCTCGGAGTGTGCCATGCTCTTATTCGCCTCCAGGCAGCTGGACACCATCACCTCGGGGAAGAGGGACTGCTGGGGGGCACAGGGGGGATCAGGGGACACCCAGGGGGTGCTCAGGGTCCCCGTGGGGGGTACACGTGTGTCCCCCCCTCCCCGGGACACCCGTCTCGGGCAGACACGTACCGCGTTGCTCTTGAAGAGCTCGTACTTGGCGAAGTTCTTGCGGAAGACGAAGCGGCTGTCGGCGCCGGGGGGCCAGGAGCTCTGCACCTCCACCACCGACTCGTGGTCCTCCAGGCACCGCTCTGCGGGACGGGGCTCAGCGTTGGCGGGGGGGGGGGCCGGGGAGGGGCTGGGGACCCCCCCCCAGTGCTCGTACCGGTGGCTCACCCAAGGCCAAGTGCTGGTGCAGCTCGACCAGGGCCCAGCTGTGGTCCTGCAGCGCCCGCGTCCTCCGCACCAAGGTCTCGCAGAGCTGCCGCGCCGTGGTCCCCGCCGACGCCTCCAGCGAGCGGCACGCGCCGTCCTCGCCGAACACCTTCACCGCCTGCACCCCGGGGGTGGGCGTCAGGGCCCCCGGCGAGGATGGGGGGGGGGGGGGGGGGGAGGAGGACCCCCCTACCCCCACCACCTTCTAACCCACACACAACACCCCCCACCCCCCCCCTCAACTCACGTGGGAGGCACCTTCGCGGGGGGGCCCCTGCCCCAGGGTGCTGCTGAGGATGGGCGAGTTGGAGGGGCTGCAGAGCTCGGGGAAGGGGTTGGGGATGGTGGGCAGCGACGAGGCACGTGGCTCCTCTTCCAGCGCCGGCCGGCTGCGGGCAGAGAGGGGCTGAGCACCCCCAGATCCACCCCCACCCCCAGCACCAGCTCCTCTATCCCCACTCCCCAACTCAATCCATTGGACAGCCCCCCCACCCCCCACACCCCCCCCAAACCCCCACGGGGGACCCTCAGTGCGTGGAGCTCCCCCCACCCACCTGCTGCCGTGGATGAAGAGGGGCTGGGAGCGCTTGACTTCGGGTGGCCCCTCGCCCCCATCCCGCTCGCCGGGGACCCCCTCCTGCTCCGTGCCGCCCGGTCCGGGGGGCTCCCGGGGGCCGCTCTGCTGAGCCCCCCCGTCCATGGCATTATCTAAGGGAGGGGGGAGACACTGTGGGACGCTCCGGGTCCTCGTCCCCGGGGCTACTCATGGGTGGCAGCCCCCCCCCCCCCCCCCCAACGGATGCCACTCCGGGTTCCAGGTGGGCCCCACGCCTCCAGCTGCCGCCGCGCCGGCACGGGCACGTCGGGCCACGGCGCTGCCGGGGGGGGCTGCCCACCCCTGGCACCTGCCCGGGTGGTGTTTTGCCGGCGCCCAGACAAGCGGTGAGTCAGCGTGCGGCGGCGTGACTCAGCACCGCCCCGCCTGCCCCCCACCCCAGCGCCCCGCGGGGTCTGGCCAAGCCCCGAGAGGCTGCCCAAGGGTTGGGGTGTCCCCGTCCCTCCAGTCACATCCCAGTGCAGGAGCTGGGGGGGCTGAGCTTAACTGGGCCAAAGTGAGCTGGGCTGAGCCAGGCTGAGCTGTGCTGGGCTGATCTTTGCTGGGCTGAGCCATGTTGGGCTGAGCTGTGCTGGGCTGAGCTGTGCTGGGCTTAGCTTTGCTGGGCTGAGCTGCGCTGGGCTGAGCCTTACTGGGATGAACTGTGCTGGGCTGAGCTGTGCTGGGCTGATCTTTGCCGGGCTGAGCCATGTTGGGCTGAACTGTACTAGGATGAGTTGTGCTGGGCTTAGTTTTGCTGGGATGAGCTGTGCTGGGATGAACTGTACTGGGGTGAGCTGCGCTGGGCTGAGCCTTACTGGGATGAACTGTATTGGGCTGAGCTGCGCTGGGCTGAGCTGCACTGGGCTGATCTTTGCCGGGCTGAGCCATGCTGGGCTGAGCCATGTTGGGCTGAGCTGTACTGGGCTGAATTTTGTTGGGCTGAGCCATGTTGGGCTGAACTGTACCGGGATGAGCTGTGCTGGGCTTAGCTTTGCTGGGCTGAGCTGTGCTGGGATGAGCTACACTGGACTGAGCCTTACTGGGATGAACTGTACTGGGCTGAGCTGCGCTGGGCTGAGCTGTACTGGGCTGAATTTTGCTGGGCTAAGCCATGTTGGGCTGAACTGTACCGGGATGAGCTGTGCTGGGCTTAGCTTTGCTGGGCTGAGCTGTGCTGGGACGAGCTACACTGGACTGAGCCTTACTGGGATGAACTGTACTGGGCTGAGCTGCGCTGGGCTGAGCTGTACTGGGCTGAATTTTGCTGGGCTAAGCCATGTTGGGCTGAACTGTACCGGGATGAGCTGTGCTGGGCTTAGCTTTGCTGGGCTGAGCTGTGCGGGGACGAGCTACACTGGACTGAGCTTTGCTGGGTTGAACTGTACTGGGCTGAGCTTTGCCAGGCTGAGCCATGCTGGACTGAGCCATGTTGGGCTGAACTGTACTGGGCTGAATTTTGCTGGGCTGAGCCATGTTGGGCTGAGCTGTACTGGGCTGAATTTTGTTGGGCTGAGCCATGTTGGGCTGAACTGTACCGGGATGAGCTGTGGTGGGCTTAGCTTTGCTGGGCTGAGCTGTGCGGGGACGAGCTACACTGGACTGAGCTTTGCTGGGTTGAACTGTACTGGGCTGAGCTTTGCCAGGCTGAGCCATGCTGGGCTGAGCCATGTTGGGCTGAACTGTACTGGGATGAGCCGTGCTGGGCTTAGCTTTGCTGGGCTGAGCTGTGCGGGGACGAGCTACACTGGACTGAGCTTTGCTGGGTTGAACTGTACTGGGCTGAGCTTTGCCAGGCTGAGCCGTGCCAGGCTGAGCCGTACTGGGCTGAACCGTGCCGGGCTGAGCCGCGGCGCCGGCGGGAGCAGGAAGCGGAGCGTGGCGGGGGCCCAGCCCAGACACCTCCTCTGGCCCGGCCAAACCAGTTCTGGCGGCCGCTCCCAGCTCCACCTCAGCGCGCTGGCATCCGGGCCGGGGCGGCCGCGCCGGCAGGCCGGGGGCGAGGGAGCCGGCGCCCGCGCCCGCCGTGGGAACTGCCCCGAGCCCTCCCGCCGGCACGGCCCCCCACACCGCGGCGTCACCGGTGGCCCGGGGCCAGCGCCCACGCGGTGCCGCAGCACCGGGACACCGGCCGGCGCGCCGGATTCGGCCCTGAAACGGTTCGTCACGGCCTTGGTCCAGCCCCGCCGTGGCACGGCGCGGCTCGGCGCGGCTCGGCGCGGCTCGGCACGCGGCACACGTAGCACACGCGCGGTGCCCACGGCCGCACCTGTGGCACTCGGTGGCCACAGGCACGCGTGTACCGCCGGGGATGCCGCGCGGGGCCGGGTTAATCATTCACCCGCTGCCCGTCCCCGTCCCCATCCCCGTCCCCCACCCAGCTCAGGGTCCAAGTCCATGGCCGGGTAGGACCGATGTCATCGCGCGGCTGCCACCACCATCCCCATCCTTGTCCCTGCCACGTCCCCATCCCTGCCACGTCCCAGTCCCACCGGTACGGATCCTCCGCCCCATCCCCGCTCCCCCTGGCTGGGGTCTCCCTGCCTGGCCAGACCGCGGGGGACAAGCATGGGACGATGCTGCCCACAGTGGGACACGGTGCTGGGCCACCCCAAGCCACGCAGGGGACAGCGGTGGGGCTGACGGGGGGATGTGACAGATGGGAGCCCCACGGGGTCCCTGGGACAGTGGCACAGCCGTGCCACCAACCTGCCAGCCCATCACCATGGCCTCAGGTCACCTCAAAGCCAGCCCCTGTCCTGGTGGCCATGACGGCGCTCTGATGAGGTGGTGACGATGGTGAAGGGGACACGGGGTGTCCCCAGGGGCTGGGACAAACAGAGGGATCGGGGCCTTGGGGTTATGGGGCAAGGGGACCAAGGCCACTGGGGTTATGGGGTGGGGGACTGGAGGGGTCAGTGCTATAGGGCTGGGCCCCAGGGCCACCAGGGATATGGAGCAGGGGGACCTGGGCCACCAGCATCAAGGGCCTGGGTGCCAGGGCCACCAAGTTTAAGGGATGGGGTCCCAGGGTCACCAGGGCTAAGGGATGGGGTCCCAGGGCCAGCAGGACCGAGGGGCAGGGGGACTGGGGAGGTTGAGGCTACGGGATCGGGTCTCAGGGCCACCAGGGCTACAGGGCAAGGGGACTGGGGCCAGCAGGGCTATGGGATGGGGTCTCAGGGCCACCAGGTTAGGGGATGGGGTCCCAGGGCCACCAGAGCTTTAGGGCAGGATTCCCAGGGTCACCACGGTTAAGGGATGGGGTCCCAGGGCCACCAGGATTAGGGGACAGAGTCCCAGGGCCCCCAGAGCTATGGGATGGGGTCCCCCCGCCCCCAGCTGTGAGCAGGGGTCCCAGTGGGTGCCGAGGCGGTGGGACACGGGGGCTGCAGGGCCGGGGGTACGGAGGCTGCGGGGCAGCAGACGAGGAGGAAGAGTGGGGGAGGAAGGTGGGAAGGAAGGGGCGGGGGCGCAGCGGCCAGGGCCGGGGGTTGAGGGGGTGGGGGGGGGGGTGAGCTGGGGTCATGCCGGCAGGGATGGGGCCGACATCCCGGGCTGGCCAGTGGCCCCGCGATGCTGGGGGCCCCCACCCCGGTCCCGTTCCTACCTGCAGGCGCCCGCCGCGTCCCGCCACCCTCCCGCCGGACCGGGGATTCCTGTTCTCCCCGGCTTTATCTACCTGCGCCAGCTCCCGCCCCCGCCTGACATCATGCCGCCCCGGGCCGGCCGCCTGGCACCTTCCCCCCCAACACACACCCCCCCCAGCACCCAGGGGTGCCCCCCTGGCCCCCCCTCTCCAGCCCTGGGATGGGGGCATCCAGCCTGGCCCAGTGCCAGCACAGTTGGGGTCCACCCCCCACACACACACCCCCCCCCCCCCATAACCCCGCATCCCACCACTCCACGGTGGTGATGGGGAGTTTCCCACAATGCACCGGGGTGACCCCAGGAGCGGCTGAGCTGGGAGTGAGGGGGGGGACACACGCAGGGCCCCATCGCTGTCCTGGGGGTGTGAGGTCTGGTGCGCCCCAAACTGGGCTCCCCCTGGGGGTCCCTGGCCCCACGCTGTGGGGTTAGGTCAGGGCTCCAGTGAGACCCCACATGTGCGGGGGCTGGAAGAGGCCCATGGGGGTGGGGGTCCCGTGGGGTCAGCCCAGGGACTGGGGCTGGTGGGGAGCCCGTGGAGTGTGTGGGGGGGTCCCGTGGGGGGTCTCACACAGGCAGCAGGGTCCCCTGGGGTTTTGGGGGGACCCCATGGGAGGGGCATCTATGGGGTGGGGGGAGCCCAGTGGGACATGTAGAGGTCCCTTAGGGAACCTGTGCGGGTCCCGTGGGGGAGAGAGGGTGGGGTCTCTTGGGGGTGTCCCCATAAGGGGTGTGGGTGTCCCCACGGGGTGTTTGGGGTCCCCGGAGGTATCCCCACTGGGGGGGATCAGGGCATCCCCGTGGGGGATGCTGACCGCCCCATGGGCTCCATGGGGGCCCTATGGGTCCGTGGGTGATCCCCTGGGGTCTGTGGGGGGCCCAAGGCCCTATAGGATTCCCACGGGGGGCGGTGGGTGGGGTGTCAGTAAGGGGGTCCCATGAGGGGAAGTGGGGGGGGGAGGGTTTCTACGGGTCTATGGGACTAGAGGGGTCCCGCGGAGGTCTGTGCGGGTCTCCACGGGGGGTCTGTGCGGGTCCCACGGGGGTCGCTGCGTGTCTCCGTGGGGACCCAGCGCGGGGGTGGGGGGGCCCCGCCGCCGCGCGCTCCTCCCGCCAGCAGGGGGCGCCGCGCGGCCCGCCCGGAGCAGACGAGAGGAGCGGGTGCTTGCGCGGCCGGAAGCGCTGAGTCACGTGGCGGCACCCGGAAGCGGCGGGCGGGCGGGCGGGCGGGCGGCGGGGCCGGAGGCGATGAGCGACGGGGCTGAGACCGGGACCGGGGCCGAGCGGCGGGTCCGCATCGTGGTGGAGTACTGGTGAGTGCTGGGCCCGGGCTCCTGCTCTCCGTGCCGCTCCGCTGCCTGCGGGGGCGAAGAACCGGTGGAAATGGGGAGAGGGCGGGAGGGTGCTGGACCGGGGGAACTGGGATGGGGCGTGCGGGGCACTGGGCGGGATTTCGGGGGGCTGAGGAGGGAGGGGGGGCTCGGCAGGGCGGGGGGAGCCGGGGGGCTGAGGAGTGTTGGGGTGCTGAGGGTAACGGGATGGAGGGAGCTGAGGGGTGGAGGGAGCTGGGGGGGCTCGTGGGGGGGGTGCAGGGCTGTGAGAGGGTTTTGGGGAGAGGTCACGGGTGGGGGTTCTGGAGATTTAGGGGTGCAGGAGGGAGGAGGGTTGTTGTGAGGGTACAGGCAGGAGCAGGGGAGGTGGAGGTGAGGGGGTTTCTCTGTTTGGGGTGGGGTTAGATGGGGGGGGCGTCTGGGTGAGGGGGCTCTCCCCTGCCTCTCCCTGCACCCAGCGAGCCCTGCGGCTTCGAGCCCACCTACCAGGAGCTGGCGAGCGCCGTGAGGGAGGAGTACCCTGACATCGAGATCGAGTCCAGGCTGGGGGGCACAGGTAAGGGCCGGTGCCGTGGCAGAGCTCGCTTTTGGGGTGACCCCGGCCTGCCCCTGTGGGTGCAGAGACTCCAGAGCCCCGGGGGTCTGCGTGGAGCAGGGCAGGACCCCCCACCCTGAGCGCAGGGTGTGCTCAGCCAGCCCGGCCCTGCCGCCGGGGACACGGTCTGGGGGACTCACGCCTGCGCCCCGCGTGCTTTCAAGGTGCCTTTGAGATTGAGATCAACGGGCAGCTGGTTTTCTCCAAGCTGGAGAACGGAGGCTTTCCCTACGAGAAGGACGTAAGTACCCGGCCAGGCTGGTGGCCACAGGGAGGTTGGGTTTCGCAGCGGGCTCCCCCGGGACCGGTTTTTCCCTCGACGCCTCCGTTTCATCACCCGCCCGAGCTCCGGCGCAGCCTCGGGGGTTGTTCCCCTTCCCGCTGCTCACCTGGGGTGGAGGGGGAGGAAGGTTTCTGGAGCTCCTGCCTCAGTGTGGCCATGATTTGGGCACCAGTGCTTCCAACCGCTGCGTGTGTGTCCCCCAAAAAAATGCTCCATCCCCCCCCCCCCCAAGACCTCATGGTGAGGCCAGCCCGGAGTGCGACCCCCTCCCCTCTGTCTCCTCAGCTGATCGAAGCGATTCGCCGAGCGAGGAATGGGGAACCGCTGGAGAAAATCACCAACAGCCGCCCCCCCTGCGTCATCCTGTAGCCCCACGCCCAGCTGGGATCCCCCCGGGGCCCCCCGCTTTGCTCCTCACTGCCTGCGTTAGCTCCCTGCACCACCGGGGACAGCAAGGGGAGGGGAGTGGGAGGGCACAAGGAGCCTCCCCAGGGAACACCACCGCGGCACTGGGGGCGAGAGCTGGGATGGGCAGAGCTGTGGTACTGGTGTCACTGGGCCAGCCGTGCCGGGGGGGGGGGGCTCTTCTGGTCCATCCCTTTGGGGTGCAGCTCCCCTGCCTGTCTTTGCCTTCCCCCTTCCTCCGCGCTTGCCTCCCAGCAGCGCAGGGGGGCTCTCCCCTCCCTCAGCCACTGCTGGGGATTTGGGGTCCCCCGTGAATGCTCTGCCCAGCCCTCAGTGGAGCCAGGAGGGGGCTTGGCAGCTCCCAGCAGGTTAATGCAGAGCCAAAACCCCCTCACTGTAAAAACTCAAGCGTGATTCGTTAATGATTAAAGTCTCTCCTGTCACTGTTTAAACCGGAGCGAGGGCAGCGGGGACCGGCTGCTCCGGCCGGACATGGGAACCCCGGCTTGGCTCTGTCCCCACGGCCAAGAAGTTGATTTAACGGCCGTCAACTTCCCCCACCTCCCCGTTCTCAGGCTCTCGGCTCTCGCGTTCTGCCTGTAATGACTCTGCCCTTCGCCACGGGGCGGCTGAGCCGGCGGAGGGGGCCCCTATTTATTCTATACTGTGTATAAACCCAACGGCCCAGTGCTGAATAAAGGACAGAGGAGAACGTGGCCCCTCTCGTGTCCCTCGAGAACAGGGGTGGGACGCAGGCAGTGAGGCGTGAGAGCGGGGTTAGATCAGGTCCTGCCTGCCCTGCCCTTGGTCGAGGGCCGGGCAGGATCGGGACTTTTATCCTCCAGTGGGTCCTGTCCGTCGCTGCCTCCTCGGGTGGTGGCAGCTAAGGCCAGGAGGGAAGGGACATGATGGTCCCTGAAAGGGAGCTGGTTCCCCTGCGCCAGCGACGGAAAAGGTGGCACCACACAGACAAAGGGAGTAGAAACAATAGCAACAACAAAAAAGAAAAAAAAAAAAACCACAATGTACAATTATCAAATATACATCTCGGTGCGATACAGTCGGCTTCAAAAGAATCCAGGAGGAGCTGGGCTGCGAGCCCGCTGTCCGCCTGCTCTCAGTGCAAGTCCGTGTGTCCCGGCGCAGCTGGGGCGCCGGGGGAGGAGGGCAGCGACGGGCTGGGCCGGACTGGGACAGCCCTGGCGAGTTGGTTGGTGGTAGAGGAGCCCCGGGGGTGACGGTGGCTGGCTGCCCCTTCTCCGGGCCACGCTGGGGCCGGGCTCCCCAGGCTGCTCCCAGTTGTGGTTTGAGCACCGTCCGGCTCAGCGCGGCTTGTGGGTCACCCCGTGGGTGCCCAGCTCTGAGGGGGGGGCCCTGAGCAGCACTTGGCACGTAGGGTGACCCCCCATCTCTGTCCCCACATGTGCTGCTGTGCTGTCCCACAGCGTCCCGGGCTCTCCCAGCCCTCGGTGGCCGGCCTCACCCCGGGTGGAGGAGACAGCCCCTGGCCCAGTGGCCGCGGCTCGCTGCGTGCTGTCCCTCCCCAAGCTGCCTCGGCGAAGTTGAAAAGGGGGGGGGGTGTCTCTCTCTCTCCACAGCCCGGCCCTACACCGCGTTGTCGGGGCTGGCCAGGCCGAGGTACTCGGGGTTCTCGGCCGTGGGCGTCGTGCCGGGGCCGCCCTCGGGGCTGCCGGCTTTGGGGGGGTCCTGGTTCCAGTAGTAGGGGTTGTCGAAGGCCTGGCTGAAGGGGCCGGGGGCGGGCAGGCTGGGGGGTGCCAGGTACTCGGGGTTCTCCACGGCGTGGCCGAAGGGCCCTGGGAAGGGGTGCTTGGCTTCTTTGATGAGCCCATTCTTGCCCTGGTGGCCCTTGGGCTTGTCCGGCGGGGATGGGGGTGTGCGGGGGTGCCGGGGTGGGGACCGCCGCTCCCCAGCCTGGTTCACGTACTCTGCAGGGACGAGGGATGGGTTAGGGGCCACCGTGGCTGGGCTGGGTGACGGAGGGGGGGGTTGGGTCCATCCCCCACCCGTCCCCTCCCTACCTGGCATGGCGGGGTGGGGGGCCGGGGTGGTGAAGCCCTCGGGGTCGGGGCCTTCGCTCTCCTCAGCCGCCAGCCCGGTGGGATCCTCGCTGTACCGCGGCAGGGCGCCGGGCTCCCGCACCGCCGGGCTCTGCAGAGCCGCCTTGGCCCCCTCCGGCACGGCCCCCTCCGGCCCCTCCGCCAGGCCGGGGGGCGGGAAGGGGAAGGCGGCCAAACCCTCGCCCTCCTCCGCATCGGCCGGGGTCTCCGCCGTGCTCTGGGTGCAGGGAGAGGGCGCAGAGTCAGCCACCGGCCCCCCGGGCAGCGCAGGATGTGGGGCGCAGCCTTGACCCCCGCATCCCTGCCAGCGAAGCCGGGGGGGGCTCCTGCCCGGCTCCCCCAGCCTGCCTACCCGCGTGGAGGAGATGCGGCTGCGGTAGGTGGTGGAGGTCTCGGCGCTGAAGAAGCCCTGGTGAGGGACCAGGTACTCCTCAGCGTCCACCAGATCGTCCATGTCCTCCTCCTCGAGCAGGGCCCGGTAGAAGGTGCTGTCGATGGAGCTGGGCAGCCCCACCATGTCGTTCTGGGAGGGGGCGAGGGCAGCGGTCAGCACCCATGCTGGGGGGGGACGGGACAGGACACCCCCCCCCCGCTCTCCAGGGTGGGAACCCGCCGTACCTGGATGACCACGAAGCGCTGGGGGTCCCGGGCCATGCGGGAGAACTCGGTGACCAGCTCCCGAAACTTGGGCCGGCACTCGGAGTCGATCATCCAGCCTAGGGCAGAGCCGGGTGCCATCAGGGCCGGGAGCGAGGTGCCACCCACCCACCCCCCTCACCACCCCCACCCCCCCCCGGCACCCTGTCCCCAAGCTGTCTCCTTGCATCCCCCCCCCCTCCCCGTACATTTCACCATGATCATGTAGACGTCGATGGTGCAGATGGGCGGCTGCGGCAGCCTCTCGCCCTTCTCCAGCAGGTCGGGGATCTCCCGGGCGGGGATCCCGTCATACGGCTTCGCCCCGAAGGTCATCAGCTCCCACACAGTGACACCTTGGGGGGGGGGGGGGGGAGACACACAGGGACAGGGGTGAGCGGTGCCCCCCAGGCCCCCCCGCCGCACCCCAGACCCAGAGGTGGGACCACCCCCCAACGTACCGTAGCTCCAGACATCGCTCTGGTGCGTGAAGCGCCGGCGGAGGATGGACTCCAGGGCCATCCACTTGATGGGGACCTGGGACGGGGAGGATGGAGAGGTGAGCAGGATTTGGGGGGGGGTAAGGAGGCTGGCTGTCCCCAAAAAGGGGGAGCATCTTGGTCCCCATCGCTCCGTCCCCAAGCCCTACCTTGCCGCCGTCAGCGTGGTACTCGGTCTCGTCGATGTCGAGCAGCCGGGCCAGCCCGAAGTCGGTGATCTTGACGTGGTTGGGGCTCTTGACGAGGACGTTGCGAGCAGCCAGGTCCCGGTGCACCAGCCGCACCTCCTCCAGGTAACTCATCCCCTGGGAGCGGCGTGCGTCAGGCTGGCCCCAACCCCTCGCCGTGTGTGTGTGTGTGTGTGTGTGTGTTTGCCCCCCACCCCGGACCCACCCCCCCTCCCTGTCCTACCTTGGCGATCTGCACACACCAGTTGAGCAGGTCCTGGGAGCCGATGCGGTCCTTGTTCTCCCGCACGTAGTCCAGGAGGCAGCCGTAGGGCATCAGCTGCGTCACCAGCTGCACCGTGGAGGTCAGGCAGATGCCCAGCAGCCGGGACACGTAGGGGCTGCCCACCCCCGCCATCACGTAGGCTTCCTGCGGGCAGGGACGGGGGGGTAGGGGGGGGGGGGGGTCAGGGTGGGTGCAGGGGGGGCACCGCTCGCCCGCCGGCACCGCTGGCACACTCACGTCCAGGATCTCCTTGTTGGCTTTGGGTGACGTGTTCTCCCGTAAGACCTTGATGGCCACCGGGATCTTCACGCTCTCGCCGTCGGGGATCCAGATACCCTGGAAGGTTGGGGAGGGGGACACGACACATAAATGGGTGAGGGGGGTGCAGAGCCGGGAGGGTCCCAGCCCGCCGGTGGCACCCCCTCACCTTATAGACGGTGCCGAAAGCGCCGGAGCCCAAGACTTTCACTTTCTTGAGCTCCGTCTCCTTGAGGATCCGCATCTGGGCCTGGTTGGGGAGGGCCCCGCTGGGCGTCAGCGGCTCCACCAGCTGCGGGGTACAGGCGGGTGAGAGGGGGGGGCCTGGGGGGGTCCGTCCCCCCACCCGGGAAAGCTGCAGGTCCCCACCTCGGTCTCCTGGAGCAGGCGCCGCATGGTGTGCTTCCGCTCCTGCTGCCGCCGGCGCTTGACGCAGACGACGGTGATGAGGAGGAGGACGACGACCAGCAGAGCCCCCACCACGCCGGCGATGATGGACGTCACCTGGCTGCGGGAGACGGGTGATGGGGTGGGGGGTCCCAGGGAGAGAAGCCCCCCCCGCCTCCAGCACCCAGATGGGTATGGGAGGGGGTGTCAGGGGGGGCACAGGGCACCCACGCTCCTACCTTGGCTTCTGGTCCACGGGGCAGCCGTCCTCATCCCGGATCGTGCACCTGGGGACAGAGCGTGCAGCAGCCCCCCTGCTGTTAGCAGCCCCACCCCAACCCCTTGGCCGTGACCACCCCCCCCCCCCCCCCACCTCCTGCCCTGACTCACGAGTGGGTGCAGTTGGTGGGGCAGAGCTGGCAGACGCCGTCTTCGTCCGGGTATTTCCAGACGGGGACGAAGGAGGCGTCCGCCTTCACCCCACTGGGGCAGCGCCGCACGCACTGCTGCGCGTCCTTGTAGTGGGCACAAGCCACGCACTGATCCGCCTCCTGTGGGAGTGGGGTGAGGGACTCAAGGGGTCAGGGACACCCCATTCCCAACACAACCTGCCCCCCCCCATCACGCCACGTCTCCCCACCATCCTCACCGAGCCGAAGCAGGTCTCGGTGCCGTTCTGGGGCTGGCACTCGGGGTGGCAGGGCAGGCACCGCGTCCCGTTGGCGTGCTCCCGGATGGCTCTGCAGGGGCGAAAGGAACCGGGAGGTGTTGGGGTGCAGGGAAAGGGTCCCGGTGCGGATTGGGGAGGGGGGCGGGAAGCGTCTCTGCCTGCCATCCCCCTCGGGCTCACCCGTCCAGGAGGTTGCAGGAGGCGACACACTCCTGGCCGCGCAGGAACCGCTCGCAGGCGACGCACTGGGTCGGGCCGGGACCCCAGCAGTGCCCGTGGGCGCAGAGGTGGAAGCAGACCAGCCCCTCGCTCTCTGCAAGGAATGGGGGGGGGGGGGGGACGACGACACACCATGAGCAATGGGGATGGTGGGGATCCACCAGCTCCCCCCCAGCCCCGTCGCCCTCCACGGGTGCTGCTTACCGCACTGCTCGGGGGGCTTGTTGTGGGTCTGGAAGAGGCGCTGGCGGGGGTTGCGGAAGATGCTGTCCCAGGGCACCTTCTGGAGGAAGCAGAGCTGGGGGTTGTGGTGGACGAGCACCATCCCGCTGCTGATCTCCTGCAGAGCCCGGAGCCCCAGCGCCCGCACCGCCAGGTCCCGCAGCGTCAGCGAGTAGGCGCCGCTGCCGAGACACCGCCGGGTGAGCGTGCGTGGGGGGACACACACACGCACACACGGACCCCCACCCCACCCCAAAACCGTGTCGTGTACCTCCCCTTCCCCATGTCCCCGT